TAGAATGTCCCCTTTGTGCCAACTTGAAGAGTTAGGGCCTTGAGGACATCACCCAGGGGACTTGGTAAGTGTTCCCTGCAGGTTGGAGTCTCATGCATACTTGTCAAAAGACTTCAGGCTAGAAGGTTCTAGAATCAGCCTTTGGCATCCAAGGGAAAACTTGACTTGGAAAGTATCTACACTTCCCATATGAGTGGGCAACCCTAAACACATGTACACATGAGCACTGCTAAATGGACTCAGTGCATTATATATACATATGCATATTTATAAATGTATGTGTGTATATGTAATAATAATCAAAGAAGAGGACATGAAATTGTAAGGGAAGAGGGGGATAAGTGAGGAGTTGGAGGAGGACTGGGAGGGATGGAAATAATGTAACCACAATACTGATGTATGAAATTCTCAAAATTTTTAAAAATTAAAAAAGAAAAATGAGTCAGAGGGTTGTGCTTTCTGGGGCCTATCAGGAACCCAAGAAGAATTGCCAGGGAATTAGCATCTAAAATGAACCTTGCCAGAATTCTGCCAGGGTATAAGTCATACTCGGTAGCAAGACACTAGCTACCCTCAAGTGTGTAATGTGAGAGGAAGTCACAAGGGAGACCGTCCTATTGTCTGTAACATGTTACAGAAATTTTATGTCTCCTGGGCTTTCTTGAATGCCACACGTATAGGAAGGCTCATTCTGGAAGTCAAAAAATTAAGAACTTTAAAAAAATTGACTCTCAAGAAAGCAGGAATGAGAATGATATTATGAAATAAGCCTCCTGTAAACATTTGATGTTAAAAAATATTATCATTTGACTCAAGCTAGATTTTATCATGCAAATCAAATGGAAATTTTACTGATTAGCCTGTGAGTTTGTAATTGTGTTAATCTAGCTATCTCCTGCACAAAATTGCCACTCTTCAGTTTATTATGTATATGTGTATTGCATACACACACACATACACATTATGAATTACCTATACTCAGGTTATAAACATTCTGATACCAATGTGATTTTCACATTGAGGTGGTATAGAATTAGATTCGATTACTTGCGTTAAACCCAGAAATCAACAGAGGGTATTCACAGTAGGATTTTATTCTTTCACGTCAAAAGCCTGGGTGATAGAAGACCAGGGCTAGGATGGAAGTTCCACAGACTGTCACAAGAGATCACTCCTGGTAGCTTTCTGCTCTGCCGTTCATTGGGGGAGGATCCAAGATGGCTGCTGGATACCAGGCACAATGCTCACCTTCTATGAAGCAGGAATAGGATAAGAAGAGAGACTTTTCCTGGAAGTTGTATAAATTACTTCTGATTGTTCCATTGTGCATTGTAGTCACCATGTCTATGTGTGAAGGGGAGATGGAAAATGTAGTCCATAACTCTGTGTATCTAGCCGAAATATGAGGATTCTATTACTGATGAAAAAGCAGGGCCCAATAGTGGGGGGTAGGAGATAACATTTACCTCTGATACTGGAAACACAGATTATGAATATTCTCTGTGGTCAGAGAGCATCTCTAAATCTTGGTTCATCACTTACTAGGTTGTAATTCTGGCCTGGAGTCTTAAAACTTTTTTATATCTTTGTTTCTTCCTGTATAAAATCAGAATAGTAAGTTACTCTGATCATTTAATGTGAAGACATTTAGAACAGTGTCTGGGTATGTACTACTGTTATTACCATTATTCCTCCCACTTAGTGACTTATTACAACTCATTAAGCTATAGGCACAGTTGCTTCTGGGGTTTGTTTAGTACTCTAGCCCTATGTACTAATCAGCCTTTTGACAGTATAATAAAATGCTCAGGGCGTTTAACTTTTTAAATAGAAGAGGTTTATTTACCTCACAAGTTTGGAGGCTGAAAGTCTAAACAGCATAGTGCAGGCTTGGGTACAGTCCTATAGTACTGGTATTAGCATGTGTCAGGAAAGGATTACATGGTGAGGTAGGAAGCAGAAACTGAGCGTGGCCAGGTGCTCCTGGTATAAAAACCCTTGCTTTAGAGTCATCAAGCCATCACCAGAGAACTACCTGAAAACCCTAATAACCTAATAACTACCCATTAGTGGTCACCCTAACCTGTAAGGCTTCCAGGGCACCTCCTACCTGGAAACCAATCCTTTGACCATTTGGCGGAGATATAAATGAAGCCATATGCAAATCATAACACCTTAGAACCTGGTATAATGCTTTGTACTTCTTAGGTCTTGATGGGCAGATGAATGAGTCAGGGTGGATGAGTTTTGAATCATGGAACTTCTGCTTTCTGACTGGATTTTCTGGCCATTACTTAATCTCTTTCAGCCTTAATTTTTCCGTTCTTAAAATGGAGAAAAGTTATGCCAAGTGTTCCTCCTCTGCCCCTCCATGGCCACTTTCTATCCTTCTCAACCAGTGCCAAGGGGGCTGGCCTATACAAACTGGACCAGTGAATCTCTTATTGTCTGGCTTCCTACTAGGATTGGTCATGGGGGAGGGAGGGGCTAACAGTGACCAGAATTGGAAGGAACATGAACGAGACTGTGCACAGGACTACAGTTTGATAACAGCTACCTATTCTGAAAGCCACAGCTGTCAAGTAGCTTTCTCTTTGTAGTTGTAGGTTCTTCAGACTCCAGTGACTGCTCTACCCTGCCGCTTCTCACTAGTAACCCTCAAACACTGGACTTTATAATGCTTCTCGTATGTTATAAATAGGTTCTTCATTAAATTGTTCTCAGTTACTCATTTGATTATAAAGAATAATCCTTCTGAAACCGTGACTGATAAACAGCCATCAGACTTGCTTTGAGCATTTAACAAGATGATGCCTGTAAAGTGCTTAAAACAGTGTCTGTCACAGAATAAGCACTCAGTAAGCTTAAGTTCCCCCGATGCTATTCTTATTAAGTTCCTTTTACTCATTGTTTCGTATCTGTAAATATTTTTGCTTCACATAATTTTCACAGGATTTTTTGTAGGATTTTTTGTTGAAAGTGATATTAGCATACTTAAGGTTAAGTTTTAAATTGTATTCTTTCAACAAATGATGACGTCTAACTTTTCCCAAGGGACGTTAAAAAAGACCCAACCTAGTTTTCCTTATTACTGAATTAAGAGCTTGGAAACTAAGAAGAAAAAGAATTGAGCTAATAGTATACAGATCAGAGCTGGGAAGGTGGTCTGGGAGGCCAAGAGATTCAAGAGGTTGAGGTCTTCTAAGATCAGCAATCAGAGAAACCAAGAATCTATACCAGGACACCATGATGAGAGACTCTGATTGAAATCTTAAAAAAAATTTATTGAGCTTTTGTAATTTCATACAATAGTTCTTAAACAAATTTAGACCCCTTCCCCCATCCATACCCTCCATCCCCCTACCAGACTTCATGTATTCTGCCATACATGTTAAGTCCTATCCAGTCAAACATTTGTACCCAAATGTCCTTCATTGACAAAATTGATCTACTGGAGTCGAGTCAGTCCATCTAGAGATCGTAAGTAAGGCATACTCTCCCTCTCCCAGTAGCAATCAGTCTCCAATAGTTCTCAGTTTAGGGCCAGCCCACCACCCATTTCTCTCTTCCTTTCTGGGAGTTGTTTAATTGAGTTGGCATGGGTCCTGTGCGTGATGCCACCGTTGCTGCAAATTCACATGTGTGCAAGTTTCCAGTGGCCTGAAAACCTCTGCTTCCCTGTGTTCATGAACGAGCCCTGGATCTTACAGGCTTTCCATCCTCTCTTTCACGGTGGGTAAGGTTCAATATAGGAGTCCTGTCCAGGGATACACACTTTGCAGTCTCTTATTCTTTAAAACTCAGCCAGTTATGGCCTTCTGTGTGTATCACATTCTGTTGAATAAGGAAGCTTCACTGGTGAGAGTTGAGGGATGCATTAGTTTTCTCTCTACTCCTTGTTCTGCTATCTTCCATGAGTCTTAGGTGTAGAGGTTCCCCTATAGATGTGTCACCTAGAACTGAGCATCTCTCAGATGTATATTCTCTGGGTCTGACCAGCTGTGGGATTCTGAGTAGTCTCTGTCTGCTGCAAAAAGAAGCTTCTTTGATGAGTGGTAGATATAAGGATCCATATTTAGCATATGGTAAGAAATTTCATTTGTCTAGACAAATGACAGAGAGAGCTTTTTATGGTTAAAATCTTTTTGAATAGTGTAGGATCCTAGTCACAGCAGAGCCTGTGCTAGCCCAAAGTGCACCAAAGTTTTTTGACTTTGATAATCTGCAATGGAAGACTTCGGGTTTCCAAAGATTGGTCTCCCTTTTTTCGAACAAAAAATTCTATTGGGTATAATGTGTTCTGGGGTTTTATTGGCTGTCTAGTGGAACCTATCTACAGGTGTGTGTGTGGTGGGGGCGAATTTGTTGGTGATGAATTCTGGTTCTCTGTTATGGACTTGCAGATTCATGATCTTCTAGTTTTGTGTGGTGGAAATACTGAATCCTTAGCAACATCCTCCTCCTGATCTTAGGAACAAAAACTTCTGCTTACAAGACCCCCTAGGTGGTGCCCGTGATGCTTCTGCAGGTGGTTGAGTACATCTCATAACCTTCAGATCCCTCAGAATATCCACTGATAACCCCTCAAAGTATCCCCCACAGATACCCCTCATTGATAAGGATCACTGATGATGACAGTGATGCTTGGAGTCCTTTTGGGTATACAAAGTGATTGCTACATTTTCTTACTTAGGGAAGTTAAAAAGATACTAATCCTGAAACCAATAAAGAAGGAAACAGGAAGTAGAATTAGTATTTAGTTAAATAAAGCACTTTCCATTTTACAGGAGCAACTAATTTTTTATTTTCCAGCAACACACAGGAATTGCTATTTTTAGATATTTGTGATGAAGTAGTCAGTGTCCATGAACTATATTTTATGTTGTAAATGTCAATTAGAGTCAATAATTAAAATCAGAATATACCTCAATAGGAAAATATTTTAGTACCTGACCATTTGGGTGATTAATTTTTCTTATATGTGATTTCTATTCCTCCAGAGTTGGATATCAGAGACACATGAACAGATGTCACAAGTTATTTTAAATAGAGATTTGGCTAAAATAAAGAAAAAGGCCTTATTAACTGCAGAAACAACATGCCCTGGGATTTTTGAAAGGTATTCTTTGTCCCTTCTTTTGCTTGCAGAATGCACACATTCTGGAAAAGGTTTGTATTCATAGGAAAGAGGTAGTGTAGCTGAGCCATGTGGTAGCACTGGCCACAAGGGTCAGCTTTCTGCTTTGCTTGGAAGTCCTTTAGGCTCATTGTTTTAACCAATCAGTGCTTTACTTATTCAGGGTTAAGCTAAAATCTCTCTTTTTTTTCATTACATGGTTTTCTGGCTCAGGGTTCTGACTATCTGGGTTTGAACCTCACTTCTACAATTTACTTGTGAAAGTTATTTTATATCTGTAATTTTGTTTGCATATGTGCAAAATGGGAATTATTAAAGTGCTTACTTAATAACTTGTTCTAAAGTTTAGAAGCAATAAAGTCGGACATTTTCCTAGAAATATTGCCTGAAGCACAGTAAGAATTAGGCAAGCTGTTGCTAACCAGAATTAATTAGGTAGTCTTGCAATCTGCGTGTGTTTTGTCCTGATTCATATGCCATTGCAGTTGCTTCTGGTATGCGTTTCCCCAGAGAAGAGGTTTTTAGTCATACCTGTTGCTCTATACCCAGGCACAGTGCCTCTCCACGGGAGCACGTCACATCAACTTTATTTTGTATCATAATTATTGGAAAATGCAGGTAGTAATGACAAAATGCTAAACTTTTCTTTTAACTTGTTGGCTTATTCTATTTTTCAAAATGTATGAGCATCACACTTTAAAATACTTTAAAAAATATCAGCCCCAAATGCAGTCTGTATGGCTTTGAAATTTCAAATATGGCACTCTAATGCATTTTCTAAAAGTTAATTTCTTGTTTATAGGGACACTGTGCTGCCTGTCACAGGCTTTAGGGATATTTTTACTGGATGCCCACCAGATCAGAGAGAAACGTAAGTTGTCCCTAAGCTGCTGAAGATTGTACAAAATGTTGATTGATTCATGATGTTTTCTGGGGTGAGGAGTGTGCCAAGGTGAACAAAATGTCCCTTACATGACTTTTTTAGACTTTCCTTTAACAATAGGCTTTTGTCCATAAAGGGCATACCTATTAGTTATGATATTAACAATAATAGCAACAACAATGAAACAGTCCATCTCTTTTATTTGTGAATTTTTCTACTTTCTGACATTTTTGTTTGTAACCCTGAAATGGTGGCAGGATGGTAGATGCTTGTGATCCGAGCACTTGGGAGGTCAAGGCAGGGATATTGTGAGCTCTGGGCCAGCTTAGGTTACATAGTGAGACTTTTCCCAGTCCCCACCCCTGCAAGAATAAACAACAGCAAAACTCAATACTGGTGATGCTGATGAAGTCATCTGTGGATGTGAGCAGACAATCCTAGTAATGGGATGCCCACACTTCCAGCAGAGGTCAGACAAGTTCTGCATTCCTGGTTTAGCCCTTGCAGTATGAATGGTGTCTTTTTCACAGACCGCTTAGTGCCATGCTTCTCTGACTTTCAGTTATTTGTCAGTCTCCTTAAAATGTTGCCCAAACATAAAGCTAAAGTAGTGTCTCATATCTAAGTTCAAGAAAGTTGTGGTATGCCTTTGGAGAGGAGAAAATACAGGTGAGAGGAAAGCTTTGTTCAGGCAAGTTATGGAGCAGTTGGTGGTGCGTTCAATGTTAATGAACTGAGAACGTATTCTAAAGAAGGTGTCTTTATGCAGAAACACAAAAAATAAGGTTGTGTTTTTATCAGTTGGTAAAATGTGACCAGAGACTTGCAGGTGCTTGGTGTAGTATTGCACACTTGTCATCCTAGTACTTGGGAGGCAGAGGCAGGAGGATTGCCTGTTTCTGGTCAGTCTGGGCTGTACAGCAAGACCCTGTCTCTAACATAAAGAAATTAAAAACAAAACAGAACCTAAACACACCAGAGGCTTGCAAGAATATAACTGCATATTTCCTCAAATGATGGCTCAGTATTTGCTAACTCAGTGTTTATGGCAATATTCTAGAGCATTATTGTGAATATTGATTATACAGCAAGAGATTGATATTTTTACTGGTAATGAAATATATTTACTTGAGGTTAGCACAAATTATTACTGCAAAAAATTCTTACCTACTCGTCTTTGTAAAGAAGACAAAACTCTTACAATGTATAGATACGTGGTTATAGAAATATACATATGAACATGATGAAATTCTAACTGTTAGGTTGTGCATTACAGGGTTGCTGTGCAGAACAGTCAGAATGGTAATCAGTGTCTGCCTCGTGACTACTCTTCAGTACACTTGTGTTCTAGTAACTTTCTATTGCTGTGACAAAAGCATTAATCAAAATCAACTTGGGGAGGAAAGGGTTTATTTCACCTGACAGCTCATAGTTCATCATAGAGGGGAGCCAGGGCAGGAGCTCAGGGAGGAACTGAAGCACAGATCACAGAGGAATGCTGCTTACTGGCTTGCTCTGTGGCCTGTTCTCTGTCTGCTTGATCAATTGGTAAAATGTGACCAGAGACTTGCAAGTGCGTGGTGTGGTATTGCACACTTGTAATCTCAGTATAACTCAGGACCCTCTGCCCAGGGATGGCACCACCCACAGTGGGCTGGGCCATCCCACTTCAGTTAGAAATTAAGACAAAGCCTCACAGACAGGCCACAGAGCAGTCCAATAGAGGAAATTCTCCAATTGAGGTTCCCTCTTCCCAGGTGTGTCAGGTTGACAACTGATGCTTTCTAGCACACTTGGTGTGACCCTTTTTGAACTCAACTTTTTGAACCTCATTTGAACTCAAGAGCGCTTCTTGATGTATTTTATCTTCTCTTTTCTACAAATCCTTTATTTTACCCCCAGAATTATTCTGTTTTTATCAGATCCTTTTTGGGTTTCATGTCCATATTACCATCTCTTCTGAATCATTATTAACGATTGTTTTTCTTTACTTTCTTCCTCATGCAGATGCTCTGTTTCCTCCAAAATGCTTTTTTTTCCCTGTTTTCATTTATATATTGTCTATCTATCCTTGAGGTATTTTTCTCAGATGGTGTAATCAAGTTTTGGTTTCTGATGGTGATTAATGATGGAGCTTGAAGCCTGTAAGGCTTCTTGACTTGGTACCTCACTGGAGGACTCTGAGAGTAATTTTTTTCAAAGCACCTCCACTTGTCAGATTCCCAGAAGGGGCTCCTCAGTCCTTCATCTGAAGGTGAAAGGCTTTTGTCCTCGCAGACAAGGGCAATTGTGCTGGTGCATTAGTACTAATTATCAGTATTTTACCAGTATGAAGACTCTACACTGTATAGAGTCACCCATTATGTTGTTGATAAGGACATCCTCCTTTATTGTTTTCAGTGAATGAATTTCTAGCTACCTCTAAAGATAGGAGGGGCAGTTGCTCTGAAGTGTGTGTATGGGAGGGCTCCTCCACTTCTTAAATAGCTCTCTCCAAACCTTCTTTGCTAATTCCAAGATTCAGTTTTCTGCTGAGCCAGTGATCACTTGTCCCTCTTCTGCCTCCAAACTTTCTCTTGTTGCTTCAGTTCTCTCTTTGTGGGATTTAATACTTTAAAGATTTAACATAGAGTTTTAATGGAGCATCTGAGGAGGCAAGATTTGAAGTACATGTTCAGTCTTAACTCTGAAGTCATTGGGTTTCTCCTGATAGATCGATCACCTTCTCCAAAAGACCTTTGTGGTAGCTAATCCTGGGTGTCAACTTGACTGGATCTGTGATTAACTGAAATGAGAGAGATCTTGATTGGATCATCTGAAGCTGGAAGACACCCTAAATGTGGGTGTTACCTTCTGATGGCAGCCTGTGTAAAAGGCCAAGGCAGAGGAGAACGCCAGGCTTCTTGCTGCTTGCCTTCACTCTTGCTGGTGAGTTCGTCTTGGTGTTGTAGACTGAAGACTAGCTGATCTTTTGGAATTTGTCAGACCTTCAGTGCCAGATTAGGACTACTGAGACATCCAGCCTTGTGGACTGAGCGACTACAGATTCTCAGCCTCTCCAGTGTGGTGCAGCCATTGTTGGACTACTTGGACTCTATCCTGTGAGCTAAGCCGATAAATCTCTATACATATATATATTCATTCTACCAGTTCTGTTTCTTTGGAGAACCCTGACTAATACAACCTCCCTACATATGCCATGACCTGGTTAGGCCCCTCCTTGCAGATGCTCACAGCACTATGTACTTCTGTTGTTCAAACATTTTTCATTTTTTTTGTTGTTGTAATTGCATGTATCCTTGTCTTTCTTGTTAAGTTCCATGCTCTGAAGGCAAGGCTGCCACAGCTCCAACCCCAATACCTAAGGGAGAGCCTGATCTACTATAGCTGTACCATATATCTTGAATGAGTGGGTTATGTTTGATGTTGAACAGCAAGTTATAATGAAAGAGAAATGACTGATTCCTGTCTTACTTCAAGACCTGTAGATGCAAAAGTTTTCAATTCTATATTGGTAAATGCATTGGAAGACATAACCTTTTAGAAATCAGCCCTTATTAGTTTGAATTGCTAGAATTAGTTGTTTGTGTTATTTGATTCATGAGTACAAGCAAGGAAATAAGTATGTGGCACCTTCCAACTTCTTCCATAATTCCCTGTGTAATTCTTCCTTTCAGTTAATGTACACTAATTATAGGACACACCATATAGTAGAATGCTGTAGTAGTTTAGGATCTAATCTTTGCATATTAAAAATTCTTTGCTGCTTACCAGCTGTACAGCTGTGGACATTAAATGTCAAATTTAAAAGGCAATGAATAAGAATGAGTTTGCTCAATGGACCAAAATAGTGTGCCTTGACTTATAAAAGAAAATCTGTATTCATAATGTAAATTTAAACTGCATGTAACCTCTTAAGGAAAAAAAATCAGAATATAAAGGTTTAGCCTTGCTATTAAGGACCCATTAGTCCCATGTACTTATTTTAAATTATGTTGTAACAGCCTTGAACTGTCTGCTTTTTCTCATAACTTAGTTTGTGGCCCCTACTTCACTTTGCACCAATATGAAGAAGATACAATATATTCCATTCATAAATTGGCTGGTATCTCAGGGAAACATTGACTAGGAACAACCAGAATGCTTCAGATCACTGGGCTTGACACTACTGATTTTAACTAGGGAAAAGGGCTCTGAGAATAATTTCTTCTTCATATACCATTGACTGAGGCAAATGGAGAAAATTCTAATAAAGTTGTTAGATGGTGATTAAAGTTGATATAAAAGACATAAATTTGAAATGACTTCTGTAGTCTTTGAGGCTGGATTGGCTAGTGTTTCTCTTGAGAGTCAGCCATATTCTCACCAGTGAGCTTCCCAAAGCATTGACCTTGGCAGGTGTGAGGAGGGTTGGGAATTAAGGAGCCCAAAGATCTCTTAGATACCAACAGTGATCTTTTGGTCTTTAAAGGTACGACTATATGTGTAAGGAATCTTTACCACTCATTACTTTTACTCCATTGATGCAGACAGTCAAGGTGTAGACAGTCATGGGAGACACATTTCCTTAAATACCAAGGAAGGGGATGGGAACAGGAATATGTTGAACATGCTAACTTAAGGCTTATTCTCAAGACTTTTAAGTAAGTTTAACCTAATTTGGATGTGCTCTTTATGACCATTGATAACTAACTCCCTCACTTATAGAATCCTTGGCTATTTGGCTATCTAATTCAAACCCATTTTATATAAAAGTCTTAGTCCTCAGAAGTCCTAGTTTAAATACATATACACAACTTTGTGTGGTCCTGTGATATGGGTATATAAAGAGAAATCAGGGTTTTTCTTCTTTCTTCTGTTAATATAGAAAATTCAGTTCTGGCACAGAATATTTGCTATGGGAGAAGCAGATCCATAAGAACTAGGGTCAGTTTAAGGGCAGTCTAGGAGTACTGAGCACCCATTAGTGGCTAGAGAAGTACCCAAGG